TATATATATATATATATATATATTTTCTTTTTTTTCATAATAATCTTGACTATTTCTTTTTCCACGGAACAAAACCCATTCAATGATTTAGTGCATGCGGAGTGTTATTGCTTCATGGATCTAACATTTTGATGTGTAACCGAGTGTTATCTAATCCCAAAATGAGATCATTTATAGCGTTAAGGAGGCCTGTTGGGAATCCATGTCACATTTTAGAGCAGAGGATTTACTGCGAAAGTAAATTTTAGCGCCGCATAGAATCAGGCATATACTCATTTAAATAACACGCAAATTCTTTACAGTAAGTGACAATAAGTTTTTAATAACTTTTAAAAGGACCAATAAGTTTTTTCAAAAATAAATTTTTTCAGGTTTTATTTAAATTGCGATAGAGCACGAGTCCTTTTTTTGAAGTAAGGAAATGAGGCGCTGTTCTTTCCTCGCTGTTCAAACGTTTTCATTTTCAGGATGGGATGTGGAAAACGGTCCGATAAATGGGCAGCCTGCATTCAGTCCCGACGTTCTTATATCGTTAACAGCGCCAAAACTTTGTGCGAAGCATTTTCAGGGCCGAGCACACTATCTCGGTGGTCGATTCGTACCTGAAGCTCTTGCCGCAAAGTATCATCTGCAGTTACCTGAATACCCAGGGACCGATTGTATTGTAAAACTCTCATAAGCTTGCATCACTGCGTTGCTGTATAGATTTTGATGTGTTTTATTCGACTTTTTTGAAACTTTCTGCTTTGTCTATTTATTTTATGTGAAATTGTAAATAAATTTGCTTATGCCTCACGGCGACATTTTATTCAGTACATTTTGCTCTCATGCTTGCTAAAAACAGTCAGTTTTGAGTATTAAGTTTGCTTCTTCAAAAACAAGTACGCCGCAGCTGCAGTATAGTGATGCCTACAAATTTTTATGATTATAGATGAAGATATTATGAAAGGGCCTGGCATAGCTGCTCGGGGCGAATGGGAGCATCTCAGTAACATCACTAACACGAAAAATCGACATTGGTGGCTTGGTGGTCTAGTGTGCTTGGTATATCTGAATTCTGTTTCCTTTGCACATCTGAAGAAAGAGTTAAAGGTCTGGCTAAGGTGTGGTCGAATTCCTTTAGGATCAGTCGCATCCCACTTGGTGGACCTTGAGTACCAATCCTCCAAATTTCAAACAGTTGAAAGTACGAACGTTGGCGATCGTTTAACTCAACTGTGCCTCCACCTCGCTTTCCTCTCCCTGTCTCCTCGTCCCACCTTTTTTTAGTGCGATCCTCT